TTTGTTGGCTGTGGGTACAATTTTGGTATGACAGATTACTTGGGTTTGTGAGGCAGAGGCCTGCATTGGTGGTAGGAAAGCGCACATTAAATGTCTAGTTCTTCCTGCTGGTTCTTTTTTAGATTTGCAGATGTTACGAGTCTGAAGTCATAGCTACTTAGTTACCAGATTTTCCAGATCTTGGTGGAAGGGAGAAAAGGAGAAAAGATCCTGGTCTTGGCATCTTCCTAAGAGCTGGAGAGAGCTGCTTGGCAGAACACTTCCTGATTGAAAGGCCAGTTGCAGAGGAAAAGAGTCCATCGTGAGCTGCTGCCATCTTCGACTGGCAGATGTTACGATGGCCATAGTAACATAAAGCAAGCCAAGTTTTTTTGTCTTGTGCTGGGGGGGAAAGAGTGGGGGTTAGGTACAATTAGGGACAATGAAGAACAAGCCTTAGGACGCTGCTCTCTCTCATTTTCCCTTTTGTTTGCCTGCAGCATGCTGGCAGTATTCAAGAAATGCTGTTTCTAATTCCAGTCCCAGAGAAACATTCTCAGTTTATATTAATAAGATCCCTATGTGCTTGGCTGCAATCTTCCCAGCCCTTTTTATGTGGAGGACAGATCCATCTGAAAGACAAAACAGAACTAGAAATCGGCAGTGAAACTTCTGTGGGGAAGTTCTGGTTCACAGCTCACTGCTCCGGGTTGATATTCATAGAAGTTAAGTAGTTGGAGATGGAAGAAGAGCTCTTCACTGTGAATACAGCATAAAATTACTGTACTCAGTCAGTCTAAGAGACAATATGGTACATTAGAGGGCTCAAGTTTTGTTCAAGAGTATGTAAGGAGCTTTAAAAATGTACCTAACATCTTCGATTTAGTTGCACAAAGGTGGATTTGAAGAGTTTCTGAGTTCCCTCTGTAGCTAAGCTCTTTCAAAACAATCTTATTTTCTTATATTAGTAATCCATATTTGACATGGAAAGGTTAAATGAAGATTTTTTTAAAAGAAAAAAAATGTGTCGTGATGAAAATCCACTGAACAAGCCATGCCTGTACGTTGGGTTTGGTGCATCAGTGAAACATGTGCAGGCAGTGCTAACGTTAGGCAACCACACTTGTATTGCAAAATTTCACCTGCAGGTTTGGCTGTTGGGAGCACTTTCCAAAGTGAATGTCTCAGCCAAATTTGTGTCCTAATTCTTTCTTTGGCTGGGCTCTTGGTATGTGTTGACTGTAGGCCAAAAAAAAAAGAAACCCCACAAAAAACCACTCCGCCAAAAAAACAATGTAATCCACAGGCATTCTCAGATTTATTAATTATTGAACTAGTAAGTGTTTGCTAGCCACCTTATTTTTCCTTTTAGCAGGTGATCAGCTGATTTCGTTAAGTAATTTTACCTGTGGCTTTAGAAAATATTAGAGATCTAGGATGTCTTTTAGTAGCCCCAAGACCTCTCATTCATTTTCTTACAATAATTAGGAGGAGAGATCCTGATTATTACTGATTTAATTTATATAGCGTAACGCTCAAATTGCTTTCCTTTTCATTTTGCCAGGCACTTTATTACACCGTTCCCTGAATTTTTACAAGGAGCTTAACTCCAATGCAAAAAACAATGGACCAGAACCAGAAACTCTGGGATTCTGGCTGTGGCCATTCTGCTGATTCACTGCGTGAGACCTTTGTGTTGTCACAGAACTTATTTGAGCCCCTGTTATCTGTAAAATTGATATACCACTATTCACCTTACTGTGAGGATCTAGGGCCAAATCTAAACTGTACATAATGCACTCTGCTGGAGATCTATCAGTGCCCTCCATAGCATCTTTCATGTAACATTGCATTAAAAAGGTCCTTGCTGCTCGTGATCCAAGATGGTTCCAAATCATGGGCAATCAAGAGGTAGAAGTAGCCACCTGCCCTAGCTGGGAGCTCTGTGCTTGGATTACTCACCCATTCCTGAAGCCTGTGTAGCACAATTACTGTCCCGGGGGAAACCCCATCTGACAGCCACACTGCATCACCTTGCCAGAAGAAGCGTCTGCTGATGCTGCTTTCTGGTTCAGTGTCTGGAGCAGTGCTGTAGCAACAAAGTTTGGTGCCTGGGGCAAAGCCTGCAGTGGCAGCCCTCCCTCACCCCATGCACAGATCCGGGGGGCACCCCCCCCCGGCTTGCCCGGGAGTGCATGCAGGAGTGGGAGTTGCCCTTCCCCTGTGCCTGCTCCCCCCAGAATGAGCTGTTCACAGCTCCATCCCATGCCCCGTCTTGGCTGGACAGCGCCTGTTGACGTCTCTTCATTTCGGCACCCGGGACAGTCGCCCAGCTCACCCCCCTTGCTATGGCACTGGTCTGGAGCTCACCTGGTCTCTCTGTTATGGCTTAGACAAGATGGACTTGGAAATCAAAAAGTCCTGAGGAGCATGTGATGAGATTTTGTTGAGGGAACTGTGGGAGGGGGAAAAAAAAAAAATCAAGGAAACCTGTGCTTGCAGTAGGGGCTTCTCTGCACATTGTGTTCTGACTTCTCCAGGGCCTCTGCCCTGCATTCACAGTTGAAGCTGAGCTAACAACCATTGTGTTCATGTATTTTTTCCTTTGGCATTCATGTGTGTAGCTGTGCAGGAGGCCTACTCTGTGCTACAACCGTTACTATACTCAAGCACTTTAGACAGAATTAAGCCACAAGTATGTTTTAACATGGTGTTGTGACATTTGTATGGATTGAAGCACACTAAAATTTACTGTAGACCACTGTAAAAGGCCAACATGTTGGAACATGGTTTCTTAATGTATATAAAACATGGCTGCTCTGAGAAAAAGCCAAACCATATCACAGCATGACTCTTGAAGGCCTACACAGTCAGCCAAATCATTTGTCTTGTTATGATCTCTGATTTCTGCTTTTCACGAGTGGTAGAAGCCAACACTTCTTGGAGCAAATGCTTCCACTCTTGCAATATCTACATATATTTCTAATGGTCACTGTGAATCTACAACTTTGCTCATGTTCTTCAAAATTTCCACTTAACCCTTGAGGTGGCTGGCCCATAACAGTGGACACCTTCAAACCAGTTGCTCCATCTTGTCATTGCCAGCGAAAGGGGTATTGCAGGCATTATCCTGTTTTCCTGGAGGCATTGACAAAACTGGGCCTTGTGAGTAGAGTAGACAGTAAAGGCTCATTTTACTACAAGCCTATTATGTAAAACTGCTTTTCTCCACATATTACGGGCTGTATTGAGCAAATGCATCGTGCCAGCCATGTGCTTGGAAGCAGCAGCAATCATTCCCAATGTTTTTCTTATGTATACAGGTATTGTAATTTCTCTGTTACCACTGTCTGACTCGGTGTTTTGAAGTTTGCAGTCTCTAAGTGCACATGCTCTGTTAGAATGGACTTTGCTTACAGACACCTCTCCCATAGCCCCAAAAGTGTTTGTAAAGAAAATGACATTGCTAAAATATTTAGAGCAGGGTAGCCTGCAGACTTTGTTGTCTTGTCAGCAGTATTACAGAGCCCAAGACAGTCTTTCAGCAGATCTTTCAGGTCATTTACAGGACTTCAGAAAAGCTTTGGTAAGTAGATTTTCCTCAGTTGATCCAAACAAGGTATGACACAAATGTTTTTGAAAGAGCTTTCCAAATAGCTTTGCCTAGTGGGGTTGTCTTTGATGTGAAGTGGAGCATTAGCAGTACAAAAAGCCTCTCCAGGTTTCTAAACTTCTCTTCTTAAGAAGTTTGTTCTTCTGTCCTCACAGAAAATAGCTCATTTTTGTACTTGGCTTTTCTACTGGCGATTCAGCTCCTTCTGGCTCCTATTTCTGCAAAGCACTCTCAAGATGTTTGTCACGGATTGGTTTGGTTTGAAATCCATGGGAATATTATATGCAACCTAAATCATCACCTTGCTGCTTCTGTCAAATGCACTGTTGGATATATTCCACATCTCTGCTTAACATTTTTATTTGCCACTTCCCTTGCATACAGTATGGCCATTTTGTATCTTTTCAATACAGTGGCAATTGCTCATTTACTTGCTCTTCTACAGATCTCATTGGCTGAGCTGCCTTGTTACATGTGCGTACTTGTTGCAGACCCGAGTGGTAGAACAGCACCCTTTACCAAGTGAGACACCCAGTGATTTCATCTGACTTGCACATGCCAGGACATGCTTTAAAAAAAAAAAAAATCTATAAAGAATCAACCAAATTAGATGTAATACTCTCCCCACTTCCCTTTGCATGATTTAGTAGAGTTTATTCTGATTCATGCTCTCTTGGATCACTGCGACTGCCATATTGCAAAACGTAGCTTTACCAACGAGTCTACCAGCGTGGTAGTTTTCAGTGTGTATTAGTGATCAAATTTTCAGTTTGCTAGCTTGATTCTTGGTGGAGAATGCAAGAGTTAAGCAGAGAATGGAAATTTCTCGGTCTCGCTGGCCCAACAGACTGTGCGCAGAACCCCACACAGCAGCTACAAGGGGAGGAGTTCTTGGCTGAAGCATGGAGAGAGCACAAGACCTTAACATCTTTATAATGTCATTTGCTCCTATCATTATAGAACAGGACTGGAAGGAATTTTTGGTTCCATTCCTGCTGAAGCTCATCCGAAAACTGCAAATTTGAATTTTTTTGACCAACTTCAATTCTTGGCTCTTAATATGACATTAGGCCTAGTTACTTAACTTTCTCCATGCCTCAGCACCTTTCCTACCTCTGAAGGAGATTGTGAAGATACCTTCAGTAGTGATGGTGAATGGTCAGCTATTATAACAGTGGGGTAGGGAAGACATATAGCACCTGGCTAGAGCCTAAGTAGGACTGACAAGGAGAGAAAGAGGAAGAGTGGAGAGCAGGTGTGGAAAGTTTTGCATTAGCCCAAAGCCTTGATTGGAATTTCAGTTTCCAGCAGAGCATTACTTGTGACACTTGTGATGTGTGCAATAGAAAAAGTCACTTATTTTCAGCACATGACTTATGATCCATTCTTTTCCTTTCCTTTGCTTCAGCTGAAAAAGAAGCAAGTTTATGTGGAGAAGGTGGAGAAGATGCAGCAGGCCTTGGTGCAGCTGCAGGCAGCTTGTGAGAAACGGGAGCAGCTGGAACACCGGCTCCGAACTCGCCTGGAGAGAGAGCTGGAATCTCTCCGGATGCAGCAGGTAACTGGGATCTATCTGCACTGGGCACTTTTTAATAAGAAATGTGTTTCTTGCATGCTTTTCCCATCAAATCATGCACAGAACATGCAGCAGTGCCATTAACTTGCTGGGTTTGTATTGTTTTCACTCAGTTAAATGTACTGTATCCAAAACCTTTCCATTCTATTCAGATATTTTTTAAATTATAGAATATGAGCAGATTCATCACATGGGACAGAGCAGGCCTATCCACAATGTCCAGAAAGTGTTCTGTCCCTTTCTGTGTTCCTGCATCCTAAGTTGCTGCAATTTAAGACACCCAGGATTTGGTAGATGGTCACGTCTGTTTAGATAATCTCAAGCACTGGTCTGAAGAGAGAGAGCTTTTTGAAATGCTTGTAGCTTGTACAATACCATAAATGCCCATGATAGAAACTTGTATCAACTTGGAATGTGTTCCAAGTATTGGAACTAGTACTTCCCCCCTCCTCCAATGTATAGAAGAAAAGGCAGGCTCTCCTGTGGTGGTATGAATTGGATTTTTAGTCATGTGTTGACATATGCTAACATATGTTGACTAATCTCATTGAAAGTTCTGGGGTAAATAGTTCCAAGTACATAGTTCCTCAGCTGTGACACACCACCAGAAAAAAAATGCTTAAACCCCCCAGAACAAAATGTTTGTGCTGTATACAGTAGACTTTATAACTACATTAGCGAACTAGTTAAAAACAAAATGTAGTCATGCTGTAAGCATGCTAAAAGAACAAATTATTGCAGCATACTAACTTGTATTTTACAGTTAACTTTTTTTGGCGGTTTCATATGACAGTTAAAAATGCAATTGACTGAAACATGCTGCCAAATACACAGTCAATTAAAACGATAAGCTACTTCCATGCTTTACTTGTATTCATATAGCATGCAAGTGTTGTGCCTGCTTTAATAAGAGAGTGAATAAAGTTAAAATTAAATAAAGTATATGAAAAATGAAATAAAGTTATTGTTCAAGAAACTGGTCTTGAAAGACAATAGAATGTATTAAAAAAATCTATATCGTGTTTAAAATAAACACTGTTTAAAAATTCCTCCTAATACAAAAGATGCATTCATTTGACACAATCTGTTAATGAGTTGTGCCCAGCCTTTAAAAGGTTAAAAGCTCTGACAACTTAGTTTTTGGCTTTAAACCAGAGAATGTCTCTTAAAACAGAAAGCGTGAAATATATTGCTTTACTTGATAATGTCAGTCCTGAGCCAAACATAGATTCATTTTGCTTCATTCCTTGTAAATGACCTTCTCCTAACTAGCTCCTTGGGGAACAAGGTCCTGCCAATCTTTGAGCAGATCTCCACATAACAGTTCATATATTGTCCTTTGAATTTGTTGAACAGCAAATCAGAGACAACTTTTTTGTATTTTCTGCTATTCCTTTGTTAGGTTTTAGGATAGTGGTTCTCAACCTTGTTAGATTCCAGGCAACCCTTGTTAGACGCAAGGCACCCATTAGAAAATGCCTGCCCTTAACTTTCACTTGTTTTTTTGACTGCAGAAGAATAATAGAGCAGATCTTCTGTTGCAGAGAATTTAGGAAGACCACGACAGATCAGAATGTTTTTTGACATTGTGGTTTCCTATTTGAAATCTCTGGGTTTATCTTGTAAATCAAGTGTAGATATTTGCACACCTAACAGACCTAATGTTGTACAGCACCCTGTGAGGCCATTTTTCTAATACTGTGGATCAGTTCTGCTATACATCCATTGAAGGGCAGGGTCTGGTACATTATTTAATTATATTTTCTTCTCTTTTATAGCCTATTTGCCCCGAGACAGTACTGCTAATCACCATTTTTTTAAAATTACCAACCAAGCTTCCTTTATCTCAGCAGTTCTGTTCCTCCATATAGGGACCAAATAATATCACGTGCTGCATCTTATGACTGGAGCTCTTATGGGAATTCAGCTCAATAACAGCAAAAGCATTTGTTTAACCTGCTTTGCCCTCATCCATGTTACATGATCAACCATGTGACAAGAGTTTGACAGCAGGGCATGGCTGTTAAACTTCTGTGGCTCCGTTATCAACGTGCATACTCTGGTGTAACTCCTTTGAAAATGAATGGCATTGCATTAGTGTGAATGTGGAGCATTGTTAGAATTAGCCCATCCAAGTTGCAGGATAGAATGCTCCAGAGTAAATGTGTGTGGTTGGATGTGGATATAAGCATTATACAATATTTTCATTTCAGACATTA